CCGCGGCCTCTCCCGGCCGCGCGGGCCCCGGGGCTCTGAGGCCCTGGGGAAACGAGCCGGGGCCGGGCTGCGGCGTGCCGCGCGCCCGTGTCCGCGCGAGCCGGGCAGCCCGTTAACCCGTGTGCGTGATCGCGCTCCGTAACTGCACAGTCATCCACGGGCCCCGCGCTCCCCGGCGGTGCGATGGAGGAGCTCGGCCAGAGGCCTCCTGCTGAACACGGGCTTTAATCCTTCCTCCTTTCCCAAGGCTTTGCTTAAGCAGGGAGTCTCCTTTAAGCCTCTCATGGAGGAGAATTGCCCACATGCTTTGCTGAGACAAGAGGGTGCGCCGTGCAACGACTGCGCGATGGAGGAGGCGAACCTCACAATGAAACAGTGCCGGTGCATTTTGAGTGTTTCACCTGCAATTTGATAATCTGCGGGGTTTTTTTGCAGTCTGGTGCCTCCAAGCTTTTTTGGTGACCAGCTTTTTGCAACCTGAATTTTATTTTAATACAATTCTCTAGAATGCCCCTCGGGTAAAGCTAAGCTAGTGTATGCACTCTTGCCATGTGTCCATATTTTCTGCTATTTATTTTCCACTAAACATCTACTGTACATGTACGAAGTGTAACTTACTGGGTCTGGACAGGCTGTGTGTTTTAACAGGTATAGTAAAACACCTGATGAAGTTTGTTCTTAGCCAAGTTGATTGCATGTGGTGAATTCTCAGTGGAAGGATCGTTTTTTGAGGGAAAAGCTTGACACTTTTCCTTAACATTTCTTTTAAAACAGGTAAGAAATTGCGTAAACCTGGAAATTAATATACTGGCAAGGGCCAGTGTAGACAATTTGTGGAAGCTCTTGACTCTATGAAGTCTTCTCAGGTCTTTTGAGGCCTTCATGGAACTGAGACTCACGGATGTTGTATTGAATGTTGTCTAGTATGTTTGTGTGTTTGACCCCAGATTTCCTCTTTTGGGTTTGCTACCTATCGCAATCGCTAAAGGCGTCACTGGCTTCAGGACACTTTGAAGGAACTGAATGGAGACCAAGGAGTTTGCTTTGATATTCCCAGGAGGACAGCAGGGAGTGAGAGGCAGAATTCCCAAGTCATTTAGACAGCTGCTGCAATTAGTTCTTCAAATCATGTTGATTCCATGATTTGGCTTTCCCAATCCCCCCATCTTTGGCATCTCTAGTGCTGCCACTGAGATGCTGTTAGCGCTTTGGCTCAGGAGGAGGGGATTTGTGCTGGTGAAGACCATCAGCAGGCGGCTTGAAATAAAATTCCTCTTTTTCGTGACTCTTCTTTCAGTTCCAGCAGCTAAAGTGGCTCAAGACAGTTGACAAACAATCAATTCTGTCTTAAGTGGTCCTTTTTTGTGCCAGCGCTAGCTCCACACAGCTGTGATTCCTGTGATTCCACAGGTACTGTGATTCCTGTCTTTGTGTCTAGCAGAACTTAAAACTAAAATCAAGATGTAGATCATACTSTCTTTGATAATAATTTAGACGTACCACGAGATAAGAAATAAATGTTAGGTAACAAATGTCTTTACCTTTGTTAAATTTTCAGCATACCTCCTGAAGTGGTTGTTAATGAGTAGCAGCAATTTACAGGAGGTGCAAATGATCTGGGAGCTGAGACATGACCTTTTCTCACAAGGAACAATGCTGGCTTTTGGAGGGGATGAGTCGTAGCGTTATGGAAATTGCCTCAGCAAGATGCATCCTATTACCCAGCAAACGGAGTGTTGGTCTTTCCTTATTTTTGATGAGCTCTGTTTCTTGACAAGGTCCTTGGGATCGGGCAGGAAGCTGTGTCCAGCAGTTGCACGGGGCAGTTTTTTGGAAGTGGCTGAATTTAGACACCTGCACCCACATTTAGAAACCTAAATAATTGGCCTAATTTTGAACTAACACAGTAGAATTCTGCTTGTCCTCTTTAYGTCTTTCATAGCTGAAGCTCAAACTGTCTTTGGCCTAAGCAGGGCTTAGCTGAGCGAGCTTAGCTGAGCTGAACTGAGCCYGGGTGCGGGGCAGCCCTGGCAGCGCGTGAGCTGGGGCCTCGCGGGTGCGCGATCCCGACTCCGTTCTGCTCCCGAGTGCCGCGCGGCCCATCCTGGAGCGCGGGAGCTGCTTCCTCTGAGCTGCTTTCTCCCTTGCAGAAGGTGCCGGCAGGGAGGCACCCTCCGCATCGCCCTGTACCTGCTTTTGTCCTTACGGTTCTCAGTGAAGTGCCTGCCGTCAGCAGCAGAGAGGGTCTGCACAGGCTCCCCGCAGAACTGTTTGTTCAGAGTGGTTGATGTCATCTGTAAGGCCAAAAATTTTCATGTTTCGCTGCTGTAGGAAGACCTGCAATTTCCTCTGTGCTGCTGCCAGGCTGTATTTTGTGGAAACTAATTGCCGGGGCTGGAGAAGCAGGTCCACGAAAGAGCGACTCTGTCAGATGGACATGCTCTGTTTTAGGAGGACGTGGCAGGACCCACATGAGAACTGTGTTACAAAGAGTTCACTTCTAGGAGATGGCTAATTGYAGCTAGAGAATTGGTTATGGAGAGGATTATTAAGAGAAAGGTGTTCTTAAGGATTAGCCTCTGGACTGATCATTTTGGTGGGTTTGGGAGTTATTTTTTGTTTGCCTGCTTTCAAGTTAAAATGGCCACAACCCCTGTCAGCTGGACAAGTTAAGCGCGGTCAACAGGAAAGTCTTGAGTGTTATCCAGTCCTTTTGGTATGGAGACTGGAGCAATAAAAACAGGATTTTGAACCTTCSGAATAAAATGGCTTTGGAGCAGCTTCCCAGCGGGCATAATAGAGGCCAAGAACTAGTAGGTGTTTATTTGAATATGGCTGTGGAGCAATGTGACTTGAAATAGCAACGACTGCTGATGTTGGTTGTGGACGGCCTGTCTTGCTTCCTTGAGAGTAAGGAATCCTATCAATTAATCACTGCTTTGATCCTTGTTGAGTGTTCACTTTCCGGTTTAATTCCGTGTGACTTTAATCAGTTTTTGATGTCGTAAAGTCTTTAATTCTCTCCACTAGAGTATTTGTGGCCCTAGCCTCAAGCATTACATTTGATGGACAGTTCTCGGCTTTTGCTGTATTCCATGCAGACCTAATTCCCAGATAAATAACCAAGGGTTTTACAGATGATTCCCATTTCTTTCTAAAGAAGGGAGGACAAGTGCAGCTGTAGCAGTGGCTGCCACCACCCCTTTGGGTTCTGTCACCTGTCCTGATGGTGGCCAAGAACTGGCACCTAGCACTTAAGCAGACGGCACCTTCCGTGTGACGGCGCCCCCAGCTTTGGGATTGTCAGAAGTTAAGAGATTTTATGAGCAGTAGATTGTATCTATGTTATCATGTTGAACAATTTACACCAGACCTAACCTCTATAAACCTGATAACTGTGCGGGCGCACGCGCTCTCTCACTCTCTCTCTTTTGCTCTGTCTCTCTGTCTCTCTCTCTGTCTCTCTCTCTGTCTCTCTCTCTGTCTCTCTCTCTCTGTCTCTCTCTCTCT